TGGAGGTGCATATACGGCTATGCTTAATGATCCAACATATAGTTCATATGCATCTTATTTGGCTAATGGTGCTCCTCCTCCACAAACACCTCCACATTCACCTCCATAAGGATCACATACATCGATGTCAATATTTTCATAGTTTTCTCAATTTCTTTGAGCAAGGGATAGTTAGTAATACTCCTCCAGGGTCGTTATTTTATAGAACCTTCATCGTCATCCATGCCAAATGAACAAAATGTCAATGATGGTGATGCTAGTGAAGATGAGGAGAATGAAGAGGATTTATACGAAGAAATCCTCAGCGAAATAGACAAACACCGCCCTATGGAACTTATTCGAGAAGACACATTGTGATCCATTGAAAGTAATATTAATAGTTGTATTTCAAAATTTTATGTAATTTTGTAATGATATTTAATGTTTAATGGTTGTTACAAGAATGTTTTTAAAATTTAAATTCAAATTCAACATGAAATGCTTAATATATAATGTTTTTAAATGTTTAATGTTTGTTAAATGTTTTTAAAATGCAAATCCAAATTCAACTTAATATTCCAATTAAAATTTAAAATTGTATTCGAAATTAAAAGTCACTTCATATTCCAATTAAAGTTCACAAAGAAAGTGACACTACAATTGAAACTTAAATTACATTACTTTGTAAAAATTATTTCAAAAATATTTCCACAATAAGACTTAATTTTGCAGTAGAATGAGGAGTAAATTTCACTTTTTAAGTTTAAATAATAATTAATATATTCGAAGAATATTTAATATATTCGAATGACTAATTCATTTTTGAATGACTAAATCGATATAATCTTAAAATTTGTACAAACTTTTCAAACAATTTTTGTATTTCAACAGCTTCTAATCTATACGAATGATAGTTGGTAACGTGAATAGTGCTCTACCGGGGGACATCACACATAATAGGACAATTATAACATATACTTTGACAAAAAGGAAAGGAGCGTCCCACAAGAGGTGCTTTCACCACATTGTTGCGTCCCCTCAAACATAATAGGTGTTGACGTGAGTAGTGCCCCGCCGGGGGACATCACACATAGTAGGGCAACTATAACATATTTTCTGACAAAAAGGAAAGGTTCATCCCATAAGAAGCGCTTTCACCACATTGTGTGTCCCCTCAAACATAATAGGTGTTGACGTGAATAGTGCCCCGTCGGGGAACATCACATATAGGACAATTATAACCTATTTTCTGACAAAAGAAAAGGTCCCACAAGAAGCGCTTTCACGTGAATAGTGCCTCGGTTATAAACATTATTAAATGCAATATATTCTAAAATTTCAAACACACATTTGCTCTCAACCTTTAAATCTCTCATACTCTAAAATTCTCAAACTCTCAAACATATATTCTCTGAAAATGAGTCGTCTTTCTGTTATTGTTTACTATGATGGAGAAATTCAGGAATCTGAAGATGTGGTTAATTTTTAGTCAGATCAATATATCCCCTTAACTTTGAAGAGAAACATCACTCTTAAGGAGTTAATCACAAAAATTTCGTTAAAAATCGTGTTGCAGGTAGGAGAAGACTATCTTCACTTCAGTATAGATTTCCTACTGAACTTTTTCCAGTCACATATACATCATTTCAACTTTCCAACGAATGATAATGTTACTATGATGGTGATGCTCATATGGGATGTTCACAATCTCTTATTGAATGTATGTCACTTTTATTGAGGTTCGTGATTCTTGTGGTCTTTCATATTCCTCTCACTATGGTTTGGCGTATCAAGCTGATCAAGTTGACAGCCTGATGCAACTGATTTGTAATGATTTCACATCATTAATGGCAAATCCAACGCCATGCCATGCCATCAAGTTCAATAGAAAGACATTCATCAGCAACTGCTTATGATCTCAACCCACGTGGCTTCACCAATAATCAATATGGCAACATCTCTTCTACTTCAAGGGGTAGACATTCATCTACCACCATTTTTTACTTGCACATGGAAATGCCATTGACACAACAGTCAGTTCACAACCCATATGATACAATAGCTTAAAGTTCAAGGGGAGGACATACAAGTGACAACTTTTTTGACCTCAACATTGGATTATCTGAGGAACCTCACTCCACCAGAAGAACCTCTTCGTGAGCCAGATGCAGATGGTGCTGAAACGGGATTATTCGTTGAACTTGACTCACCACAATTTAACGTACACTCTGATGATGATGGGATGAAGTTCCCATAAATACAGAACCAGTCGAACTTCCTGCACATATGTATGGGGCTGACTATGATGCAATGTACGAGCCTAAATTTCTGGATCTCCCTAGTGTTTGAAACTATGGATTTCAGTCATCAGTCAATAATGGTGACTTATATATTGGAATGGAGTTATCATCGAAAGAGGAAACAATGATGGCAATTAAGAGTTACAATATTCGTAACTCAGTTCACTCCCGAGTTGATTGATCTACCACGGAGAAATATGTTTGTTACTGTTCCAACGTGATAGCGGATGTAAGTGGATGATTCGTGTATCAAAGAGAAAGAGGAAGAACAACTTATGGGAACTAACAAGATACAACGGTCCTCATGCGTATTGTGCAAGAGGTATAAACTAGAACCATCCCAACTTGAACTTGAACATTATATGGCAAACTATCATGCCCATTGTGAAGCAAAGCTCTCATATAGTTGTTGCATTGTTGATTTCTGTTATACAATCACAATGGGTACATTGTCTCCTATAAAAAAGCTTGGACGGCAAAATAGAATGCCATTGTCAAACTTCATGGTGAATGGGATTCCTCTTATGAGCTACCCAGTTGGTTTCAAGTTATGCAAAGACTTAATCCCGGGACAATTGTTGAGTTCGAAACCAACATCATTAAGTGAATGATCGAGTGGTTCACGATCGCTGCCAATTCTACAGTGTTTTGGACTTACCCTCAGTGCATTAATGCAGTGAAGTACTGTAAATCAGTTGTCCAAATTGATGGTACTTTCTTGTATGGGAAATACAAGAAAATTTTATTATGGATGTGGTCCAAGATGGTAACCGTAATATTCTTCCTGTTGCGTATGCCCTCGTTCAAGGAGAAGACACTGAGTCTTAGGCTTTTTTCCTAAAAAATTTACGTTTACATGTTGTCACAAGAGAACGCTTATGCATCATTTCAGACCTAGGAGCCAGGATAAAAGCGGCAATGGGCTCTTTGAGTCTAATGTGGAAACCCCCACATATTCAACATCGTTATTATGTCCGTTATATTACTACAAACTATTATGGAAAATACAAGAAGAATGATGAACTTCAGTTAATCGTACGCATGGGTATGTTACTTTTTTTTTCTTTTTTCAATCATTTTCGTATTACTTATTTATACTTCATATTAACTATTACATATTCCTTATAGCTTAGGTTACGAACTCTTACCTCAAAGGTTTGAGTCTATACTACAAGAATTGTTTGACAAAAATAAGAAGGGGTGCGAGTACATTATGGATATCAACAAAGAAATGTGGATAAATGCTTATGACGGGGGGTATCACTATGGTCATATGACAACCAACTTAGTTGAAGCAATCAATTCAAACTTAAAGGGGGTGCGTCATTTACCAGTCACGACGTTGGTCAAAACGACTTACTTTCGTTTGGGTCAACTATATGCAAAGCTCGGGGGACAAGCTCTTACTTGGATACAAAACGGCCATATTTATCACCTAAGACTAATAGTTGATTTATAGAAAAAAGTGGATGCATAAAATGGGATGTTGGTTACGAATTTTTCTCGCACCCGTGAATTATTTCGTGTAACCGAAATGGCACGTCCTCTTCAAGGTATATAAATTTGAATTTAAGCCCATAGGTAACGAAAAAGACCTAGATGAGATTCAAACTTTGCTTACAATTGTACCAGATCCGTTGCTATTGAGGGACTCAGGTCGTCCAAAATGCACTTGAATTCATTGTGATATGATTTTCGGGAGAGGTCAACAGAACAAAAAAGATGTGGGCATTGCAGAAACATCGGCCACAATAGGAAAAAATGTTCACCTCTTTTATCATCACTTAACCGGTAACCCTTACTTATGTATTTGCATTTTCTATTTCAATACATGTCTTTGTTTCTAATATTTCAATATAATTGCATTTTCTATAATTTCCTAATGTATGTGTATTTTCTACCTAAATTTCCCACTTACCTCTTACTTCAAGTGATTAACATTTTCATTTTAATCGAACCTTACCCTAAACCACTTTAACCTACACAACCTTAACGAACCCTTGACCTAGAAAATCCTTCACCACTTTCACCATAACGAATCATATACAACTTTAACCTAAAATCACTCCACCCTAATTACAAAATTAAAAAATACCTTCTATCATTCTTAAATTATAACCGAAAGTCTTTACATAATAAATTATCAACTTCTAATAACCCTAAACTATAAACCTTAAACTTAAACCCTACTTCAAAAATAGGGGAAATGTATGTTCCCTGAAACGCTCTTTCTACCGTGACATCACATCACATCAACGGGAAGGAAATTCCCCTAAAATGCGTCTTACATCTACATCGGTAAATCCCGCTAATGCGCACTCCCGGGAACGCGTCTTATTTCCACATCAGCGGAATGGATGTTACTTTGGGAAATATTGAAAAAACTGTGTTACATAGGGAATATTAGGAAAATAGGGTGATATTTAGGTCATTTAGCCGCACGACTCAAATGACCGCTAATCACGGATTACCTGGAAATGATAAAAAAAAATCGACTAGATCTAAAAATTTTCTAGACTGCCATTTCTGCAAATATGGTCTTCCCAAATTCCAGAACACGACAATTTCCGATGATTTTCCGGTGACCGGGAAAGATAAGAGAACACAAGTGGAGAAAGGGTGTTTAATGTTTACCAATTGGATTTACGTTGCGCTAATAAGTTTCCTTATGAGGATGCCGAAGAGACAGAAAAAAACAGTGAAATCAAAAGCTATGGTGATTTGAAAAAGGATATGATGTTTTTGATTGGGTTGAATTTGTAATGAACCGGAGACGCGGGTCAAGCGAGATGGTAGATCTGGTCAACTTCCAGCAGCAGAGGCTCGATGACGTCGTGTCGGATGAGCTCGAAGTTCGGGTTACCGAAATGGTGCATGACGTTTTCTTTCCTTCCGGTGAAGAAATTATCGACGACGATCACACTGTCTCCTCTCTCTATCAAACGGTCGACGAGGTGAGAACCGACGAACCCGGCTCCACCCGTCACGACGATTCTCAGACCTTTCCGTTTTAGACCCAATGGAATCTTACCCGCCGGGTTGGAAGACCGGAAACCGAGTCGGTGCGAGTCGACGGGGAAGTATGAGATGGAATCAGGGATCGGGTCGATAAAGTGGCGGTGAGGAACGTGGGGAGGAGGAGCACGTGAGGTTGGGAAGACGGTGAAAACCAGAGTGGCAATAGCAATACCGACGAGGACAAAGACCAGGCGTTGCTCCCGTAGCATGTAACGAATCGGACCGGCGAAGGAAGCCCACGGTTTAACGGGTTTCGGCGAATACGATTCCGAAACCGGCTGAGACTCGTGGCCCCTGTATATCAGCTCCGACCCCATCGCCCTTCCAACTTCCAAAACTCGAAACTCGGATTTGTGAGAGTCGAATTCAAAAGAACTTTAATTACATTTCCCTTTTGTTCATGCTTTAATTAGGTTTTACCTTTTTTTTTGGGTTTATTCACTTGTAAAGCTGCTTTACCAAATGAAGTGGGGGTTTTAAGTAGGGTCCAAGTTTTAACTTTTAAATATGTTGAAAATTTATTATTAGTTTTTATAAATTTTATTTATGTATTTAAATCTGATTATTGGCTCTTGTATCTTTTAGATTTTTATTTCTAAATAGACCTAATTCTGTTTGGTGAAGAAAGATCTGAAATTATTATATATAAAATTTATTTAACCTTCAACATTTGTAAACTTTATAGTTTTAATTTCATCTTTTATTGGATTAAATTTAACCATTTAATCTTTAAAGAATTGAAGTTTATTATTACCCTTTCAAATTAGTATAATTATTAATTTTTCACGCTAAAATAAAAACTTTTTGATACCATATAATATTCTACTAAGTAATTTAAATAATCAAATAATATAATGGAACATTTGAACAAATGTGTCACATAATGTTATACTATGAGAAATTTATTTCAAATATTCTTATATTTTGTTAACCAACGTCTCTTATGAATCTCGACTATAATTAGTGTTGAGTTAAATTGTCAAATGAATCAAATAAGGTAACACAACATTTTTCAATAATGTGTTACATAATAATACATTGTGAGAATCATATTCTCATATGTAAATTTACATTATATGAATCATGAAATACCCCCAAATTTTGTCTAATGACTAAAATGTAAATTTTGGAAGTCTAGTGGCTAAAGTATAAACTTTAAAAATTTCAAGGACTAAAACTATAATTTTAAAAAGCTATATATTTTAGCCATAAATTAAAAGTTTGACCTAAAACATGAATATCCGTGTCAATCAGATTTTCGGTACGGGATTTGTGTTAAAAGTTTTAAAGCGATAAAGTTCGATATAAAAATTGGATAGTCGGATCAGATCATAATTTTACGAAAATTTGAAGGATGATAGATAAGTGCTGGAAATATTATTTACATATTTTATATCAGCAAAATTTAGCACACATTAAAGTAATTTTTCATATTTGGCCGAACAGTAGATATTTTAGAGACTGAAATGCAATTTTCAAAAATTACATGACCAAAGTAGAAATTTAAAGCCCAGTTGATTCATCTTTGACTATGGAATATTTTAATGGAAGATATGAAAATGACATATTGTAAATATCAAGTTTTATTAATGATATTTTGGGGATTTTTCAAGAATTGAATTTTAAATTCTATTAAATTAGATTTAATGCCAATTATTAGTTGTTAAATACTAGAATAATCAAGAAAATAAGCCAACTTTTCAGCTTCTTCTAACTAGGCTGAAACCTCTGTTTCCATTAAGGTAAGATTTTATTTTTTATTTTCGAAGTTACATACTTGATTTTTGGATTAAGTTATTAGATAGAGAATTAATCTACATTAAATTCTCTATCATTTGGTACAAATATTACATGGTGAAGATGCTTGTGTGTTGAGATTGAAAATTTGGGTTTATGTAGGGTTTGGTGATTTGACAAATTGATTAAAGATTATTATGTTCTTGAGGTTGGAGATTAATTTTAAGGCTTATGTGATGATTAAAATTATGTGTAAATTCCTATATTAGGATTGGGCAAGATGGAAATTATTGAAGTTGGATTAATTTTGAATTAAATTGATGTTGTGATGATTGGAAATGCATGAATTTGATCATAGGAGGTTGAATTCATGCTTGAAATGGAACAAAAAGACTACCCTAGGTAGTAAGAAGCATTCGACCATAGGAAAAAAATTAGGGAAAAATGTTGAAAAATTTCCTATGGTCTAGAAATGATAATAGAAGAATTCTATGTGAGTTGAAGATCAATTTGGAAGTTTGAATTAGAAAAAGGGTTAGTTTGCAAGTTATGAGACTTGTGGGACTTAAATTTGTAAATGTTCAATTTGAGGTACTTAATGTTGATTTTTAATAAGCATGTGCTGGAATTTTAAGTTGGAAAATTTGTTGGAACCAAATTGTAATGGTGAAATTCGAAATATCCTAAAACTTTAGGGACTTGTTTATGATTTTGCAAGTGTGTTGGTACTGTTCTGAACAGGAAATTTCCATGCTGGAAATATTATTGATATGCTGGTTTTTTTAGTTTAATTATTGAGTTGGGAGTAAATTACAAGTTTATAAGGTTTGGTGGTTGAAATCGAAAGTTCAAGAAAGTTTAGGTTGAAATGGCAATGTTTTGAATGTTGAGGTATTGATTTGAGTATTTTGTTAAAGTGCTGAAAATTTAGTAAGCAATGATCATAATGATGAAGGATCATTATGAATTTAATGGAAAAGTTGGGGTAATTTTTAAAAGAGAAAATAACCTCAATGATCGAAAATGCCTTATAATATACGATTTGTCAAAATGACCAACAAAATCGCAATGAGATCTCTAAATCGCAACGCGATCTCTAGTATCGCAAACCAGTTTCCAGATTCGCAACGCGATTTTGACTATCGCGTTGCGATTTACATATTCGCATTGCGATTTTCTAAAATCGCAATGCGAATATGTAAATCGTAAAGCGATTCTGACTATCGCAACGCGATTCTGACTATCGCAACACTGAATTTCAAATTCACAACAGGTTTTAGTTTCGCAACACAAATGTTTTGGGTATATAACTACGCAGCAGCAACAGCAATTCATAACCTAAATCTCTAAATCGCAACTCATTCCATCTCCATCTATCACTCTCTCCGACGACATCCGTTCTTATATCCAACGACATCCTTCCCCATCGGGCAACAGGTTTTAGTTTCGCAGCTCGTTTGTTTAGTAAATTAATTTACAATAATGAAATCATCTAATGTTGATCATGTTTGTATAGATTTGTGTTTTGGAGGGTCATGGGAGAATGTTCATGGTGTTTTACAATATATACCTTTACCCATGAATCTTCAACTAAAACTGTCATTAAAAAAGTTAACTTATGAAACTCTAATGTTACGTGTTGCAAATAAATTGAATTTGAGCCCTTAAGTGGATTTAGGCTATCTTATCAAAGAAAAGGTAAAGTTTATTTGTTAACCGAAAATGAAGATGTTGAACGATTCATTGCTTACATTAGTGTTTCGCAAGATGATGTTACATTGTATGTTGTTGAACCTAGAAGTAGTGAAGTTGGGTCAGTAGCGGGTATTAATCAACTAAGTTTTCAACCCAGTTATGGTGCTCAAAATTTAATGGTTCCACCATAATTTCATCACCAAGAAAATTTTGTTTCACCACATTTCCAATACCAAACACAATCTCAAAACCCACAACCTTGCCTAATTCAAATCCCAATCAACTTTCAGCACCAAATTCCGGTTTCGTATTGACCAGTTAGACGATGATGAGCCAATAGAAAAAATTGTGAGTACTAGTCAGTATTCGAAATTTGATCTTGGTCAATACCCGGACTTTGATCTTGGTCAATACTCGGATTTTGATGATGTTTAGAAGAAGAAACAGACCCTGCGTGTAATGATTTTGATATTGGTCAATACCCAAATTTTGATGATGAAACAGTCGCTGCCGAGGAAGATGTTGTTGATGATAATGAGGAGGAAGTTATGACTGTGAATGAATATGTTGAACATCCATTCTGTAATTCATATAACCCTAAAGAAGAAAAAGAAGAAGAAGAAATCCCCGAAGAAAAGTCCCCGAAGAAAATGCCACGGGAGTATAATTGGAATATGCCAGAATTACTTCAAATACCGGAAGAAGAGTTGGTAAAGATATCAGTTGATTGTTATACAAAATTATTCGTATCAAGAAAGATGATTGTTTTGATACAAAGGAAGACTTGAAGATAGTTTGTATACGAAATGTGTGGAAGATGGCTATCAACTAAAAGTTAACAAATCAAGAAAAGATCGTTTGAAACAAGGTGTATGATTGACAAAAACTGTACATGGCGTATGATTACAAAGAGGATAAAAGATTGCGAAATGTTTCAAGTTAGGACTTTTATTGATAAACATACATGTTCAAGAACCCAAGTTTTTCCTCACCCTAGACAGGCAAACAAAAAGGTGTTGGGTGGTTTTCTGGCTGAGTTAATGTTTTTGAATGGCAGGGTATATCGGGGACATGAAATTATGACTGACATGAATGCTCGGTTCAAGATTAGTATCTCATATCTCAAGCTTGGAGAGCTAAATTTATGCCTTGGAATTGTTGAGGGGGTCGCCCGAAGCATCGTTTGCCTAACTGTCGGCTTATTGTCACAATTTAAAGCTGAAAAATCCTGGGTCGGTAACTCATATCAAAACAGATAGAGATGGACGCTTTGAGTTGATGTTTATCGCCATTGGTGTTGCGGTTAGTAAATCAATATAATTTTGTTGACTCATTTTTGTTAGTTACATGCATTTCACATTTAAATGATTATATTTCTTGTGTATATTATTTTGTAGATTCGTTCGTTTATTACTTGCATGCGCCCAGTTATTATAGTTGACGGAGCACATTTGAAAGGTCGATACCTTGGAGTAAACTTATTAGCAGTAGTCATGGATGTTAACAATGGGATATTGCTAATAGCTTATGGGGTTGGCAAATCTGAAACCTCTGATTCATGGACATGGTTTATGGGGCATCTTAGGGATTGCATAGGTCCTCTTAGCAATCTGACAATCATATCCGATAGGGCAAACTTAATTGACAACACTGTTAGAAGGTTTTTCCCAGATGCTTTTCATGGACTTTATGGTGTTTATTTGTATAGAAATCTAAAATCAAGGTCTGCTAGTATAAAAAATCACAAATGGACATACTGGAAGACTGTAAAAGCTTATCGGGAAGTGGATTTTAATAAGCATATAAATTGTTTAAGACGTGTTTTGCCTCAGTGTGCTCAAACACTAGAAGATGTCGGGTTTGAAAGATGGTCAAGAGTACATCAACTTGGAGCAAGATATGGTTTCATGA